CCTCCTCCCTTTGCACTGGACTTAGCCCCAAGACACGGGGCCTGGAGAAGGTGGACAGTGTTACCACTGGCCCCAACTAAGCAACAGTGCAGACCGCTTCTTGTTTCATGCCGTCCTGTGGCCCATGTAACTAACGCATGCTAGAGCAATTTCCTGCCTTACTGAGTAGAATATATTGAATAAAAGCATGCCCTCTGATGATTCAAGACCTCACAGGGTCTCTGTGTTTGAAAATATCCTGTTTCATCCATGCACCAGATACAGCACCAGCTCCAACCGCAGCCCGTGTGGGCCAGGCAGGCTGGTCAAGCCCAGAGCGGGAGGACCTGAGTTCCTGAACGCACTTAGCTTGCATGTTCCAAATGCAGGACTAGTCTGCACGTTCACAAATGAGTTGCTTCTGTCCTGTTTTCCCTTGAAACAGTGGCCTTTACAGCCTAACACTGCTTTTCCCACTGTTGAAAGAGATGTGAATTCAAGAAATATTTCATCAGTCTTTTCACGATGAATGGAAATCCAAAAGCAATTCAGTTGATGAGTGAGCCCAGCCTGTGGTGCCCACACTATCCCATCATTACACTAGTAACAGCCCGTGTCTACCAAGCACTTTCTATATGTCAGGCACCGTGTTAAGCCCTTGACATGCAACATTTCCTTTCATCGTCCTAACCTCCCTATGAGATAGGCACTGAGATTGTGCCGTTTCTCAGGTGGACAAGCAGAGAGTCAGAAAGCTAAAGCAGCCTTTGCTGAGCCGGTGGTGCATACAGTCTATAGCCAGGCAGAATCCGGGGCCTACACAGGCTGGTGGCCAGCGAGTGTTCACCCCCTAAAAGAAGTCTGGTCCCCCAGGCAGAGCTGGGCAGCGGCATGGGGAGGCTACATCAAATCACAAACAGCTCGGAGTAGCCACAGCGAGCAGGCTCTGCCCTTGGCTACCCCAAGTTTTCAGAGCCATCAGAAGCTTTTGGGGCACTCCCGCCTTTGGAGAAGGCTCCTAAGTTTGCTCACCCTTCCTGGGATGGAAGAAGTCGTGGTTTGGGAAGCTACAGATGGAGTGGCAGATGGGAAGTGAAGGCCCATCAGAGTTGCCCAGGATAAAACCATTCATCTGCAAAATTCATATGTTTTTGTGTGGGGCGACTTCGTGAAAACAACAGCAAGAGGAAGCAGCAGTGCCTGATGCATGACGTGCCTCTGGCCACCAGGCTGGCAAAGCACAGTGGACAGAAGAACCGGGGCGGGGGGTGGGGGGGAGAGGGGTGGGCGGGCACTGAAATGAGAGCAGAGAAAGACAGAGCGACAGAGACGCAGAGACCCAGAGCGTGAAGCTAAAAAGCTAGAAATATGATGACTCTCTTCCCCAAACCCCCAAATAGGTGGGGCATATGGTCCAAGGAAGGATTTCTGGACCCCTCAGATATGAGGCTCAGACTTACAACGAAACTGACTGTGGACATTGACTGGGAACTTTCTAAGTGCCAACACTCTGCTGGTTGCATTGCTACAACCTGATCTCACAAAGACTGAATTTACCTCTGATGGTTTTTGTTCTGCCAGTGAAGTGGCAGAACTCAGACTCAAACCTTGGCCACCTGCTGAGAGTCGGAGCACCCCTCCTCTTGGATGCTGAAATGCTAGAAATTCCGATATCCGGGCAGAGCAGACTTGGTTAAGGGGTCATGGTTGGTTATGGCTTCAACTTGCAAGTCAACACAAAGCCTCTAGGGGGCAGTCTCAAGACCTGGCATGAGTCTCCTGGGAAGGGCCAGGGGCCTGGGCATACCTAACTGATCTCAAGAGGTCTCTGGCCGAGTTCCGCCGCCTGACCTAGGCTGAAATGACCTCTGGGGCCTCCATGGGAGGCCTGGAAGAAAGTGTGGGAATCTTGATCCTAGCTAGTCAGACTCGGGGACAATAGGAGACCTTTACTCATGAGATTTCCTGCTGCCAGGTGGTGCAATCACATCTCTGCCCAGTCTGGAGCTGAGGAGTGGCTGTGCTCTCTAGGCAGCCTGGGGCCATCCCGCCACTCTGGGCCAGCTGACTTCCCCAGGGACCAACTTCAAGCAGAAAGAATAACAACCTTAGAGCCAGACAGAACTGGTTCTAATCCCCAGCCTGCCACGTATTCTTTACATGACCTTGGGCCTCAGCTTGCCCTTCAATAAAACAGGTTCGCTTTGAGGGCTGACAGAAGCACCTCCCACATCAGCTGCTCTATAGCAGCAGGTTAGGGTATTTCTGAACTCAGTCCTTCCTTGGGAGATGGAGGAGAATGTTCTAACTCACCTTGCCCTGTCCCTCTCTAACTCACCTCTCCTCGTTCTTCTATTGCACTCTGTTTAAATTTCTCTAATGCATCTAGTTCACCTCTGACCCAAGTCTTATCCAGGCTGTCCTTTCTCTCAGGAACTGGAGAGTGATTCTGCCCCTGGGGAAACAGCAACTGGAGATGTTTGTGGATGTCACAGTGCCTGGGGGTGGGGAGCACTACCAGCATCTGGTAGGTGGGGCCAGGGATGCTGCTAAACACCCTACAGTGCCCAGGACAGCCCCTCAGCATGGAAGGCTCCAGCCTGTTATGCTAATAGTGCCTAGGTTGGGAAATCCTAGTCTAGAATGATCTTTCCTTCTCATTTGCTTGCCATTTTTTTTTTAATGCTCACCTGAGGATATGTTTATTGATTTTGGAGAGAGAGGAAGGGAGAAAGAGCTCAAGAGAGAAACATCAATGGGTTGCCTCCTGCATTCGCCCCAACCAGGAATCGAACCTGAAGCCCTTTGCTGTACGGGACAATGCTCTAACCAACCACGCCACCTGGTCAGGGCTGACGATCCCTCCTTATCCCCAGGTCTCAACTCAAAACTGCACATTCCGAGGCCTTTCTGACATCCTGATTTTGCCCCTCTTGCACTCAGACCATCTGCTGCTTCCTCTTGATAGCCCTGTCACACCTTGCATGACGCCTCTCTTACATGATTAGCTAATTCCTTCTAGGGTACCACCAGGCAGGGGCTGTGCGGCTTTTATTCACTAAATGCCCAAATAATGCCTAGCACGGTAGTTGCTTAATAAATCTTTGTGGAATGAATGTTTGAATAAATAAGAAATTAGGAAAAACCTGCCAGTGATGTTTTAAAATCACCTTTTTTTTTTTAAATTCTGCTATCCTACAAACAAAAGAAAATAACCCCCATCATTCTTCCTAGGTTCAAGGGTGTCAGGTGCATTTTGCCTAAACTGAGCAAAGACTGTGCCTCCCCCAGATCTCCTTCAGAGTCCAGGGTCCCCTGGCAGACCATGGGATGCCACCAAGCCCAGAACTAAAGGAAGGGCACTTTAAATAGACACTTCCATGCCTGTGTCTCATCTAGATCCTCACTCAAAACCCAAACTCCTGGGCATATGTGGCCTCGATATTTAATGACTTAGGAATGACTGTTTAATATTTTAGATGTGATAATCATATTGATGTTATGTTCAAAGAGAGATGTATACTGAAATATTTACAGATACGATTTGATGATGCCTTGGAAATGGTTCACGGGGGGCGGGGGAGGTGGGGGGAGAGACATGAGCACAGACATTACCAGACTGTCACGAATTGATTATAGTTGAAACTGGGCAACGTATAAGTAGGGGTTCATTATATTAGTCTCGGCACTCTTGTGCACGTTTGAAAATTGCCCTGATAGAAGTGTGTGTGAGTTCTTTAAAGATCCCTTCATTTCTGGGACTGCTGTTCAGTGCCCTCATGGCATCTGAGGGAGGAAGACCCTCTGCTTCACACACTGTCCCCCTCCCTGTCCACTCACTTCTGCCTCTCAGCCTCCTCAATAAATCAGGATGGAAGACACGGCCGAGCAAAGAGCTGCCGTCTGGATAGGAAATAGACCTCATTTTCTTGCCTTTCTCCTTTACAAGCTCTCTGGAGGGGTTTTCTTTGCTTATGGTCTATTTTACGGAGCAGATCACTGTTTGTGCACAGGGGCCTTCCTCGTGGCATCTCCGCTACCTCGGAGCTGCAGACTGTGGGCTGCTCTATCTGCCCCACACGACTGTGGCCAAGCAGGCTGCAGGCTGAGTGGGAAGACCGAGAGAAGCTCAAACTCTGTAGTTTCACGTGAAATTTCCCAATTTAAAAATGTAGACAATCAATTTGTTTGTTAAAATTAGGTAGGAGCCAAAGAATAAAATCCAAGATACCCATGGTCCTTGAATAGCCCAAAGACACCCACACGTCTGTGACTGTGCCTGAACTGTTGCACCAGACCTCCCTTCCTCCTCCCTGCCCCTCCTGGTTTAACCTGGATGTCACACCTTGTCTTCCTCTGCTCAGATCATACCAGTGGGCCCCGTCTTGCTTGAGTGACAGCCAAATTCTAGAATCTCTACAGTCTCGCCCCAAGTTGCTCTCTGATCTTCTGTGTCTTACTACCCTACGCCTCACTTAGTCTGTCCCAGCCACACTGAGCGCCGTTGTTCCTTCCACACACCAGGTGTGTTCCCGCCCCAGGGCTCAGCACTGCTGTTCCCTGTTCCTGGACCACTTTCCCTGACAGAGTGACTCACTCCTCCTTCCTCTTCCATTCTTCTCGGTGAGGACCGTCCTGTCACGCTGGTTAAAATTCCAATTCTCCCCTGCATCCTCTCGGCTTTGTTTTCCCCATGCACCATTTGACTTATTTTGTTTGTTATTTGTCTCCCCGATTGGACTGAAAGCTCCATGTGGGGAAGGGTGACAGTCCCTTTAGTGTTTCCTTAAACAGAGCAGGAAAACTGTGTACTCAACAAATATCTGTTGAATGAATGAATGAACGAACGAGTGAATGTGCAAATGATGCTCAGGCCCAGTGTGGATCCCATGCTGAGGGATCTGTGAAGACAGTGCAGGAGCGTACACGCTGCTCTGCACAGGAGGCAAAACGCTAAGACCAGGGAGGACGGGAGGGAGCAGGACCTCGGCGCAGGCTGCTGGGGCTGAGGGCCGCCTTACCTGATGGGGTAGTCGGCTGCGCTGAGGTTGATGAAGAAGTCCCAGGGCCAGTCGGTCATCTCCAGCAGGTCCCGCATGCTCTGCAGGTACGTGGCCAGGAGGCTGGCGCCGCCCCAGATGGTGGCCATCCGCCAGGGGGTGACGCGGACATTGCTGTACTGCCGGGCGAACTGGAGCACTTGGCGGTGCAGGTAGTTGGAGCGCTTTTTCCCAGGAGAGAAAAGGGTGACATTCAGCAGCCCAGAAAACACCCAGACGTGCCCCTTTGTCCCCTCTCTATCCCTTCCCTTCTAGGTGGCAGGGTTCCTGAACTTTGCCCAGTAGATGGTTCAAGCTGGGGGCATCTTTCTACATGGCTATTCGAACATTTATTATTGTTTAAATTTCACTTTAGCTATTTTAAATGCAGATTACCTGGCCCCATCCTCTGACCTACGGTTCACTAGGAGCCTAGGGCTCTGCATTTATATACAGACGGAGGCATGTGGTCTGAGGATAGCGAGCTGTGAAATACAGCTGTATCGAAGCCTGAGGAGTGTTGTGAGGAGTGGAATGTCTCCATCACCCTCTCACAGGCCTGCTAGAAGCAGATCCTTTGCCTCTTGAGTAAGGACATAATCATGTCACGTTCCAGGCTAAGAGAAAACCCCTGGGACAAGAGAGTTCAAGGGTCAGCAAGCCTGCTGCGGGGTTTTATCAATAAAGTTTTATTGGGACACAGCCACACACATTCATCATTCGTTTATGTATTGTTTATGGCTGCTTTCACACAATGGCAGAGCTGAGTAGCTGCGACAGAGAGGGTATGACCTTCAAGCCTAAAATCTTTATATATGGCCCTTCATAGGGAAAGTGTGCCCACTCCTGGGATAGCTCCCCTCACAGAGCGGCAGGCAGTGTACTGGGCAGTGGGACAGTGAGGAAAAGAGGGAAGAAAACCAGTATTTATAGAGACTGTCTCTCTCTCTCTCTCTCTCACACACACACACACACACACACACACACACACACACACACACTTTAGGAGAGCCTTCCCTGAAAGGGAGGCTGGCTTGAAGAGGGGCAGAGGGACCCACAGAGAAAGGCCAGCAGGAGGCGCCTGGATGGGGGGCTCACCTTGTCCACGTGGATGTAGTAGAAGTGGTCTTTGTGGTAGATGGCCTTGAACATGCGCTGCAGCTGCCGGGAGGCCCGGCCGTGCACCACCAGGACGAAAGCGATCCGGACCGGGTTGGCCAGCATATACTCCACGGAGTCCTCGTCCCACTGGACGTTCTTGTTGGCTTTGCCTGCGGAAAACCCGAAAGATCACAGAGGTGGGTGAGGGTCAGCAGTTCCTGTTGGGGGCAGGTTCTCTGATGCTTCATCTTGGGGACTGTTGGAGGGGCACCGTAGTCACATTGGGCCCTGAAACCTGATTCAGCATAACCAAGCATGTTCTGGACCCTTATGCTCTCCTGGTGCAACAGGAGTGGGGGACCTTGAGGTGCTTAAGTCACAATTTCCATCCCCAAGAAGCTTTAAAGAGCTGATGGAGACACAGGTACACATATTAAACTATCGAACAGGAGGAGATAAGAGGCATAAGAGGTGCATCTCTGAACCACTGAGGAGGAGAAGTTAACTCTGAGCTAGAAAACGTAAGATACCTGTGCTGCTTTTGCCCATTCAAGTCTATTCTCCTGTTTCCTCCTAAAAGCATCCATTCAAAAAAATGGTGGTGAGAACAGATAACAGGAGATCTACCCTCTTATCACAATTTTAAGAGCTCTGTATAGTCTTGTTGATTGCAAGCACGATGCTGTACAGAAGATCTTTAGAACTTATTCCTCTTGCAAAGCAAAAAGTCTCATCCGGTATTTTGAGAGGCCTCACCCCCCTCCTCCATTCTCAGTCCAAGTGGATGGGGAGGACCTCCCTCCATTATCAAGGTCAGGGGCGTTCACAGAGCTTTGGCCTGGCCAGTTTAAACATTGCATCTCCCTGGCCATAGTCTGTATGATGCAGAGGTGAGCATGTGACCCAACCAAGCTAATTAGCTCCAAACACAGAATTCTACACTTTAGTTGAGACAACTAGATAAGAGATGTTCATTTTTGGGTGTACACACAACTGGGAGATTCTAAGAGCGCTTTTGTCCCCACATGGAGGTTGCCTGAGAGAGACCAACACAGAAGCAGCACTGCCGAGGGAGGGAGAGGGCTAGAGCCTAAGGACCCGCTGGAGCTCCTAGATCAGCCCCGCGGGAGATCAGCCACCGTCAGTCATATCCTAGTTTTCTTTGCAAGCCTGGATCCTACACCAGACCCACCTGGGTAAATGGTTCCAGATATATATATATTTTTTATCCCAGAAGCAGCTCAAAGAGGCTGTTTCCTCCTCCTTTCCTCTGCAAACACACCAGGGGCAAGGGTGCAGGGAGAAACACTGGCTCAGTTCATTACAATTCCAGCTAGAGTTCTCCCGGCTCTCTTCGGCCTGATTTCCTTTGAGTCTAACCTGATTTCTTGTGGGTTCGAGGTTAATGGGACCAGAACATTGTCAGGGTATTAGCTGCATGTGTCCCAGAATGTCAACTGGGAACGCTGAGAACTGGGAGTGTGTAGCCTGGAGGTCAGGAGACTGGGGGCCTGTTCCTGTCGCTGGAAAGCTGAATGGCTGCCAAATGAACAAGGCACCTTCTACCTTGTTCCAGGGGACAGGAAGAGATGGACATGGCTAATGTCCAAGTCGCATGGCCCAGCCTCCACACCTACATGATCTGCCTCCTGCAGGCCTGGTGCCTTGACTGGCCGGTCCTACTACTTACCTCACCTCCGGGCCCCTTTCTATCTTTACTTGAGGTGTCTGCCTCAGCACCTTTTCATGGGCTATTCTTGCTACTGGAACACCCTTCCCTTAGATCTTTATTTATTTATTTTATTTCATTTTTTTAAAGGGGAGAATGATGATTTTTATTTTAATTTTAATATATTTTATTGATTTTTTTTTACAGAGAGGAAGGGAGAGGGATAGAGAGTTAGAAACATCGAAGAGAGAGAAACATCGATCAGCTGCCTCCTGCACACTCCCTACTGGGGATGTGCCTGCAACCAAGGTATATGCCCTTGACCGGAATCGAACCTGGGACCCTTGAGTGCGCAGGCTGACCCTCTATCCACTGAGCCGAACCGGTTAGGGCTCCCGTAGATCTTTACATGGCTGCACCTTCCTGTCCTCAGTTCACCGATCAATAAAGGGCCACCTCACCCCGCCCCCAGCCACATTACTCTCTTTCACTGCTCCCTATTTCAATTTTCTGCATAGCATTTAGCACTGTCTGAAATTGTTTATTCATTTACTTGTTTATTATTTAAATATTCCACTAGAACATGAACTCCAAGAGATGAGGGACTATTTAGTCTTGTTTGTCATTAAATATACAACACTATAGCACACCATGTTCTTGGTGGAAAAAAGAAGTTACAGGAGGGTACATTTGGTTCAGTGCCATAGTAATAGCAATAGAGTTTACTGAGCACCGATCAGCCCTGGTCATTCGTTATTTCATGTAATCCTCATAACAACCCTGCAAGATGATATTATTTCCATTTTGCAAATGTGGAAACCACCGCTTAGAGAGGCCAAGGGATTTATTTGTTCAAGGTCACACTGCTTTAATTAGTTCAGCTGAGATTCAAACCCAGGTCTGTTTTCAAAGCCTATGCCCTTACCCACTAATATACACTACATTACCATACCCAGAATTTGGGAAAGTTTAAAATTCTGCTTGTTAGTTAATGAAAATACCTTTGAGTTACTGCAGGTAAATAGGCATTTGAGGACTATCAGAGGCACTGCAGGGAGGATTGCTGTATCGTGTGAAAAGCTGACTCTAGTCATCATTACGGACACACGTTTTCATCCATCCATCCATCCATCCATCCATCCATCCATCCACCAACCCATCCATCCAGTCACCTATCCATCCATCCAAATCTAACCAATCACCCAGAAACCATTCAACAACCCATCTAGCAAAGCATTCAACAGCTTATTATAAAAAAATGCCAACCATCTATTCATCCATCCATCCAACCACCCATCACCTTTAAAACCAATCATCCATCCAACCATCCATCCATCCATCCACCCACTCATCCAGCATGCTCAAAGCAAATCATCCGTGAATCTACTCTTCAACCATCTAACTATCATCTCGTTGATCCATGCCATTTTAACTTAGCCTATACCACATGCCAAGGTCTGTACTAGGTACTAGAAAAAGAAACTTTTCTTGGGGGGAGGGGAATCCTTGCTTTTGAGGAGCTCTCAGCCAACTTGGGAAAACAGAAGACAATGCTCAATTGTTTTATGATAGAAGTGTGTTCAGGCTGCTCTTAGAGGGAAGAAGTGAACAGTCTGTCTGCAGGGACAGAGGAGACCTCAGAGAGTTTAGTCCAAAGCTTCGGAGCCCATTTCTTCACACTCTCCGGATGAGTCCTAAGGTCTCATGATCCTGAGGATAATTATCCCTGTGGCTCTGGTTGAAGACAGAATGGGCAGCAACCGGGTGGGGGGGGGGTGTCCTCACCACCCTCTAATCTTCTCTCCAAGGCAATCACAAGATGCAGGGCTTTTGTGGTGATCATTGGGGGGAGGGGGGTTGAGGGGGAAAGTCTGCCTGGAGGGATCATGTGCCTTTCCAGCGGTTCTCAACCTGTGGGTCGCGACCCCTTTGGCGGTCGAATGACCCTTTCACAGGGGCCGCCTAAGACCATCCTGCATATGAGATATTTACATTACGATTCATAACAGTAGCAACATTACAGTTATGAAGTAGCAACAAAAATAATTTTATGGTTGGGTCACAACATGAGGAACTGTATTTAAAGGGCTAGAAGGTTGAGAACCACTGCTTTAAACACTCATACAACAATCCATCCATCCATCCATCCATCCAATCAACCATGAAGTATCCTTAAAACCTCCCACCTGCCAGCCCTGGACAAGGCCTGGAGAACAAAGACATGTAGAACACGAGCCTGCTTTCACAGATGTATTATGAATGGATTAAGGAATGTGAGAATCCAAAGTGAAAAGATAACCTATGAGAAAAGCTTATATTCTCTCCCCAAGACCGCAGCCCAAAGGCCGTGTACTGGCCTTGGCCACACTGAGCGTGACCTCTCCTTGCCTCCCTTGGGGACTCTTTATCAAACCAAGGGAGGGACACTTAAAAGCAACAGCTACTTGTGCCACTTTTTTCCACCTGGATTTCACTGGGTGATTTTTCAAAGGTCTCACCATGGTCCACGACACTGTATTTCATAGAAAGTGCACTCTGTAGGGGCTCCTGCTGGACTCAGATGACACTGCTCATCCCTGCCCCAAGGTCTCTGGGTAACAATGAATCTGGAGTTCTTAGCAACTGAGACTCCTAGGGCCTCTGGGATCAGCCTGTGTTCTCTCCAACTACGATGTCTCTTGCCATGACTAGTTTTTTCTTATTTCAGAGAGAGGAAGGGAGAGGGAGAGAGGGATAGAAACATCAGTGATGAGAGAGAATCATTGATCAGCAGCCTCCTGCATGCCCCACACTGGAATCGAGCCTGCAACCCGGGTATGTGCCCTGACCAGGAATTGATCCATGACTTCCTGGTTAATGGGTTGATGCTCAACCACTGAGCCACACTGGCTAGACTCTTGCCATGCTTGTTGAGTGAGCGAATGAACGAGTGGGTAGATGAATACATCCTGGGGAAGAGGGCTGCTCTGGTCCAGAGGGGCTGACCTCGCCTGTGGGCCTGCTGTGCTCCAGCCTGTGCCAGAGGCTCTGCGTCAGTTGCTACTTGGCTTTGGATGGAAGGCACTGCCATGTTCTCAGGCTCAGAGAGGTTGGAGCTTTTGTTCCGGTCACACAGTGAGCGAGGCCAGAGGTGGGAGTGAAAGCTGGGAGTGGCTGAGCCCAGCACTGGCCTTGCTACCTCCAGCCTACCCTCTCCTGAAGCAAAGAGCAGGGAGATGGGAGGACCGGTGTGAAGATTCCGTGCTGGTCTTTAGAGGAACTTGCATGTTGATGTTGAGGGGAGCCTTTTGTACTGTCTCTTTAGGGTTTTAGAATGTGGGGGAGGTGCACAGATGGACAGACACAGACAAGGATGCTTCCCTCTGGAGGGGGAGGGAGCCCTGGGAAATCCAACACTCCCACTCAGCCACCTCCATTTAAATACAGTCCCCGTGGACCAGACGGCTGGCCTGGGGAGCAGCAAAGACAAGGGGGAATAACACCCAGAGTTCTTCTGGAGGA